ACTATAAACTTACTACATGCACTTTCAAAAAAATATAATGTAATGATTTGGGGTGGGATGTAGTTGACATGGCACACGAGACGACCCTTATACGAGTGACGCAGTCAGGGGGCGAGCACCATAGATGATAGTTTTCTAGGGGCCAGTAGCTGATCTGGAAGGTGGAAATAGGGGGTGGGGGTGGTTCCAAACCTAGGGCGCCATCCACAATCACCCACAATGAATGTCACCAAAATACACATCTACCACTTACTAAAATTCTTACTAGAAGGAGCAACATCTGATATGGGCTCAAGGACACCAGACATGGAAAAGAGTAGACTGGCAAAGTGTGCTCTTCAGTGATGAGATTCGCTTTCATCTTTATCACGCTGATGGCCGTCAACGTTTGTGGAGACGTCTTGGGGAACGTCTTGCAGACTGCTGCGTCTTCTAGACGAATCGATGGGGTGGGGGAAGTGTAATGGTGTGGGGAGGCTTCACATTTTATTACCGGACCGACCCTACACATTTGCAGGGGTCGCGTTAATGTTGTAGCCTACCATGATGATGTCTTGCAACAAATTGTTGTTCCGATGTTTCGAGCGCACCCACAACTTCAGCACTTCCAACAGGATAATGCACGTCCGCATACCGCCCGTTTTAGTATGGACTACCTGGCTGCTAACAACATCAATGTCTTGGACTGACCAGCCATGTTTCCGGAGATGGCAACGATAGAACATGTCTGGGATGAGATTGGACGCCGTCTGTATCGGAGACCACAGATGCACACCATTGCTGCTTTAGAAGCTGCTCTTGTCCAAGAATGGAACAATTTGCCCCAGGCCTTCTTTCAAACATTGGTAAATTCCATGCAACGTCGCTGCACAGCGTGCGTAAGAGCCCGTGGAGGACACACCCGCTACAGACATCTGTGTCGTACTTTTGGTTTTGACCCCTCTGACTTTGTACCGTTGATTACAGATTAAACATCCATAAGTGTACTAATGTGTTGTTATTGATGTGTTCCCATTTGGGTATTGTTCACAATAAGAAGCAAAATAAATAAGATATGTTTACAGGATCATTTTGTTATACGAAAAACTAAGTGATGCGTTTTCCATGGCGCTCTGTATAATATCCTGTGAACTACTATGTACAATGCATTTGTCGGTTTTATCTGCGTCCATGTTCCGGCGAAATTCATAAAAACTCAAAAATCTCGTCGTCAGATTCGTGTTTTCTCGTCATAGATTAACGTCGGTTTTCCTAGACTGGGATTCTCGGAAATCCACGCGGCCTGCAGGCTGGAGTCCAACACTGAAACTATTCAATTGTTTTTCAGATAACTGGTATCATTATGTATAACAATCGCTGTGAAAATAATTCGGAGAGATTTCAATTTGACAGTTTTTATACACCCACATTGAAATGTGGTCGTATATTGTCGTCGCCCCCGTCCGTCCGTCTAGAGGCTAAAGTTAATATCCGATTGACTTTAAATTTATATACAGTGTTCAAGTTCATGAAACAAAGAAGCCTATTGATTTTCAGCGATTTCCGATAATTACTGCCAGAGTTATGGCCCTTGATCACTTAAAATCTTGTGGACGCTCTAGAGGCTAAAGTTAATATCCGATTGACTTTAGATTTATACACAATGTTTAAGGTCATGAGACAAAGAAGTCTATTCATTTTCAGCGATTTTTGATAATTACTGCCAGAGTTATGGCTCTTGATCACTTCAAAAAATTGATACACAGTGTTTAAGGTCATGAGACGAAGAAGCCTATTGATTTTCAGCGATTTCCGATAATTACTGCCAGAGTTGACTTCAGATTGATACACAGAGTTTAAGAGCTTGAGACGAACAAGTATATTGATTTTCAATGAATTTTTATGACTTGAACAGCTAAATCCATGATATTAAAAGTTTTGTATACTAAACGTTAGCATGGGGCAGAACTTTATAAAAACCAAACAAATTCTAATCGTTTTCTGATAATTACTTCATGAGTTGTTACTCTTAATCAGATTTTAGTGTATTATAAATGTTTCATTACCGAAAGAAGTAAAAATATGCGACAATACTTGTTGACTGCCCGGACGATTTAGCTGATGTGGGCGTATGTTTCGTTGCCTGGCAACCTATCTTTACGTATTTTTGAAACAGGCTTCAAAGTGTGTTGGTTCTGTTATGCAAGATCATTTTAGACGTTCCCAAGTAAGAGTTTGGTGCTAACACCCCCTAAATATAAATTTTAAATGTTCCTATTATTAATTAGAATAGGTTTCGCTTTAGTTTTTATATTGTACGTTGACATTTTATTGCTTTGAATCTTCCTAGTGCAAAAATGGTAAATTTCACCTTTTGACCTCCAGGGTTACTAAGAATAAAGGTGAATTTAGCAAGTTTACATTTTTATTGAAAGTGTGATTATGTATACTTTCGATCATTTTCAGCTTCTTTTCATAATACAAGAATGACTGCGCATTCACTTTCAGTGCAATAAATGACCCCATTTGACCTTTGACCCCGAATATCTCGAAAACGCCCCAACGGCGGACTGATTACCACTCGGCATCGTATTCTACGCAAAATTTTACTCTAGAAAAGTTGGGTCTGGTTTTGTGCCCATTTACCTCATTAATTCAGTGAGCACCTATGTTGAGATCGACTGCATTTATTTTGCGACCGACTATTTTTTTCGCGGGGTGGGGGGGGGGGGTCACACAGTATTTGAAACCCAATTGGTAAGTTTAACGCCTTTTTTTTTTTAGCAGAATTGCATGGGTTGATGTTCCTTTAAAATTAAGGTGTGTTCCATCTTTCTTAGAAAAAAGATAGCTTTTAATTTCCCCCTTTGAAAAGAATGAGAGTTCATTACACTGATATGGTTATCTTTGCACACTTTTTGTAGTATCTCATTAATCATTTTTATGGCAGTGTTTTGAGTTGAATCTGGTCTTGGCAGCAGTTCTATAGTATGAATCTGATGTAGGCATTTGGGTACTTTTCCATAATAAGTTGGCTAAGTATGCATGGTGGCTGATTGGTATCATGTCGGGATGTCGTGGTGTCGCCCTTCATAAGGCGACAACCCGACATCATGACATTTTAACCCGACACTACGACAACCCGACATCACAACATTTTAACCCGACAATACAACATTTTCACCCGACACCACGACATTAAAAATGTCATAATGTCCAGTAAAAATGTTGTATTGTCGGGTTAAAATGGCGTGATGTCGGGTTGTCGTGGTGTCGGGTTATCGGCCATATTCATCTCACTGCTATGGTTATGTTCCCCGGGATTTTAAAGCGCGGTTTCTCCATGCTGGTAGTTCAGGACAAAGGGCCTGGCAAAGAACAGTGTCTAGTATTGTAGATAGGACAAAAAAAAACAAACTCCTGTGTACACATTGGCGTGCACATAAAAGAATCTTCACAGTTGAAATTCAATGAAGAAATGCCACGGTCCATTGGAAATTTCCGTCATATCACTCCTTCAATAGTCCGATTGGTTCGGAAAATGAAATGGGGTTTAATGTTGCACTGTTCCGATCCGTGGGTCTCAGTGGCTAAGTGAGTAAGACGCTGGCTCGCTAGCCTAGATGTCACGGGTTCGCCCCCGGTGTTGGCGAAGAAAGTTCATCAATATTTTCCGGCGTGATTTTCCCTTGTCAGGGGTGCAGTCGGGCTCAGTCGGAGCATAATGAAATGGAGTTTAACGTCCTACTGTTTTGCTCTGACTGGGCTAATGAAGACGGGCTTACACCATTCAGTGTGTTATGAGGGGCATTCTGCTCGGACAGTTTCGCTACGGCCGACTCTTATTTCAAATTCCAATTATTATTATTATTTATATTATTACAGCATATTTATAGTGTGCCCTTTCATATAACATGTTCAGGGGCACTTTACAAAGTGACAATGTAATCATAAATAAACAACAAGATTTAACAACAACTGTATACAGAGTCAGTTAAAAGCCTGATTAAATAAATGTGTTTTAAGTTGTTTTTTAAAAGAATATAGAGATGTACAACATATTAAACTAAATGGTAGATTATCTTTTACGTGCACGCCAATGTATACACGTGACCTCGGTTTTTCGTACCATTCGAACGACTGGAGAGCTGTAGGCCCTCCTTTATAGGATATCTATGGGCGTTACTGTTTAATAAAGGGAGATAACGACAAAGAAGTTTTACTGGAAAAGTTGAATTGTTTCCCTTTAACTATATTTAAGATAAGATAAGATATAGAGGATATTTGTCGTTTTAGAGTGAATAACATATTTTATTTCATCGAGAAGCAAGAAAACTTATATTTTCACGAATGCGTAGCATTCGTTAATACGCATTCGTGAAAATATAAATGTTTTCTTGCTTAGAGATGAAATAAAAGATGTTATTCACGACAAAACGACAAATGTTCTATTTATTTTATGATTTTACAATCATTTTAGGTAAAAACAACATGGACTACTTTAGCCAGTGGAATAACACTTTTATTTCACTGATAAAACGCGGTATTCCACTACTGATCATAAAATAAAAAGAATTATATAAAAACTATTGACCTATCAACCTACCTAAAGAGGCGTGCATTTGTGACATTTTTATTCAACAGTTGAAGGCGACAAAACAAAGCGCAAACACACGATGTATGTTACCTGATATGAATTATTTATGTCCGACATTAGAAAAAATTCTAAATCATGCAAATGGGTTGTTTTGCGGGCGTCCGGATTTCGGTCTGGAAAAGCAAAGCTATATATAAACAAATAAAGAGTAATGTCCCTTTACCTATGGAGTTGACAACTAAGTTTTGTAATCAGTTATTTTTTGCATTTCAACAATTAAATAACATAGCAAAAAGTTTTATTACATTTCCTCATCGTCCGCTCTCATAATTTTAACACAGCAATTGTTAATTTAACAAAATAGAAGCGAACCACTTGCAGGAAGGTCAAGTTTGTGTCAAGGCCGAAGGTTAAGGGTCGTATTCTTATTTTCCAATAGTCACGAAAATGAAAAATGAAACAAATATTCTTATTTTTAAGAAATAATGTTCTTTTTAATGCGCAACTAAATAAAGGTAAATCAAATCTTTATAATGAAACGGTATTTACACAAAGTTTTAATTGTTTTATTCCATCCTCACGTGACCTACATGGGAGCAACATTATTCATAAACATTTGCCTGATTTGGGTCGAATAGTTTTCAACTTGTCATTGTACTTGTAGGGCGATGTCTACACGGTTTTTAGCCGCAGAATCCGTTCCATATGTGATGATTTTAACGCCGAAATGACAAAGAATCTTTGTACCAAATCATCGAATAGATAGATCAGGTGTGAAGAATTATTAAAGATAAAATGAAGCCCGAACGAGGTAGGTTTACATTTCATGAGACTGTATAAAACCACTGCTGCTCACGCAAACAAGGTGATTGATTGCCTGTTGCAGACGCACAGCATAAAGTCTAAAGCACAGCTGTGTTACTTGCACCACTTCCACTGTCTTTTTATATTATTGTTAAAATTTAATTTAATTTTTTTTTAATGGCTGTACACACCATAGATTAAATTGGAAAAGATATTCTGACACTTGTTTATATAACTACAAACAACCCTACAGTAGTTTAACGTTTGGTATCTTGACAGTAAACAGCTGATGACTGAATCATATCTCCTCATACTCATACAATATATTTTGGGCATTTCTTATCAAAATATACAACCAACATAAGAGCTATACCGCATGTATAGAGAAACAAAAAGAAAAATTGTCTTTTAAGATATTTTTATTTTAGTCATGACTGTCATGAGTCATGATGTAATCAAGAGAAGTTCTTTGTTGTCTATTTAAAGACGTATGACCATGATGACTGATAGGTGTGGTTAGCAATTAATTCTTCAGCTTGTAGTTTACTAAGGATCCACCTTATAATTTAGCTTATTTGAAATAAAAAGATACCTTCTCTGCATAATTCTACAGGAAGTCGGTTAATACCAGTATAAGACCATCCACAACCTAAAGTAGCCTACTTTTATTAAACATAACATTTTGCTTAAAAACTTATTGACCTATTTTTTCAAACGTAAAGGTGCTAATTTTCTATTCTTTGGCACCTAGAAAATAGACACAAATGGGTCGCAATGCATATATTAATGTAATATGAATGAATGTAAACTGATTTACATTCAATCGTTTCTGTTTTTACTGTAATTGCTGATCAATTATGTTTGGCGAAATACGTGAAGAGTCCAAATTGAATGGCAGTCGCTGGTGTCTGGTTATTCCAGTCCACACCGGTAGTATTCTACTGTGGGATATGTTTAGCCTCGCTCATCGAGAAGCTTCAGTACAAATGGCGCTCGAAAGCATTCTGGCATGCGATTCGTGTGCCAATTTTGTCTTAAATATTGGATATCAGAAGCCCATCTTTTCACAGTAAGATAACAACATCATTGTTGAGTTAAATTGACCAATAAGTCATGTTTGCAATGTCGAAGCCCGTTGATGATATTGAGTTAAAGACTTGCCTCCTTTAAAATCTCTGAACTTTAATTGAAAAGTTCTTTGCAAACTACATCATTGTGGAAGTTGAATCTCATAAAGGAATATCAGTCCAAAAATGGTTAAAGTCAGTGTTTACAAAGATATGATGAATTGAAAAATTTGCAACATTCGGCATCTTCTACAGACGATATAAACAGAATATGGTCAAAACGGAAACTAATATGGATCAAATTAACCTTAGTCAAAACGACCAAAAATGTGATCATAATTTATCTTCATATATATTCACTGGATTCGTATTAAACATTTCTTAATATATGATATTTAATCATTTGTTTTGATTGCCTTGTGTTTCTTTTGACCAATCTATAATCATCTTGACTAAGAGTTATTTTCATTTATTCTGTAAACTTTGTAAACAATCTGGTGCTATCTTTTAAGTTCTGTTTAACTATTTTGATGGGCCTCTTTTTGATCTGATTTAATCCATGCCGAAAGACTTTCCACCTTTGTTGTTTTGATTTCTTCATTAAATGTTTAATAATTGGAATGTAAATTTAGCTGTGGAAGTTTGATATTTTCCGAAAAATGAAAATGTCACACAGAGGCTTTAAGTCTAAAATTAGACATTTAAAGTTTACACTTGTTTCTATTTGATTTAGCCCTGAAATCTTTGTGTCTTACTCTTAGATAATAACTGGTTTTTTTTATTCATACATGTCTGCCCATTCTTCATGAAAACTCTTATTGTGATTAATCTATAGTTTGTGGTTGTTTGCTATAAGAAACCAGAAAAAAACTTTGTAATAATCCATTTTTTACAAGACATATATAAATGGTACTATTTATTTTGTATTTAAATATATTTGATGCAGTATTTAATGATGAAATTCTACAACATTATGGAAAGGAGTTCATTAGGCGAATGAGTTTTATGATAAGCATTTTCTTCTTGGATAACATTTATAAGCAATTTAATTTGTCAGAACATGAGGTAGAATGTTCATTCGAGGAATGTCATGATTCACTTAACAGTTTTCTACATGATGAAGTGTTCACAGTGTATTGTGTTGCTGAGATGAAATATTATTTTAACACAGTGTTATACAATATAACTCAAGGTTTTAGTTGAATAAAATCAATATTATTATTTCCAATCCCAGTAATAAGTTCAATTATTTTATGTGCACATTGTTTTGCTGTCATATTGTAGTTTGCATTGCTTACCAGTTGTCCACTGTTAAACATGGCTGCATTTGTCTATGTTTTAAAAAATTTTGTGTATTTTTTACATAATCAGTAAAATGAAGAATCCTTACATTATTGATTAGATTAAATTATTGATGTTATTTCACAAAACAAATCTGGCAACTGTTGCATAAAAGCCTATAAAAGCATTGTAGTCAGTTGATGTAACTGTTCTCTGGGATCCTTGTGGTTTCACAGCTGTGAGGGAAGACTTATATGGACAAATGTCATTGTCCCAGAGGTTTATAGGGAATTTTTTCACAAAATGTAAATAATTTATTATATGATGATGACATTGATGAGTTTTCAAGTTTTTCATTGGTTTTAAATCCGATTATGAATATATAGTCCATTTACTATTAAAGGTTAAAAGTTCATGTACCACCAGAGGCTTTTAAAATAGTAAATTATGTTTGGTTAAAACATGAAGCATGGGTATAGTTGTTTATTTGTTGTTCAACAAGAAATAAGGAGACATAAAATATTTTCGTTGAGTTGTGTACAGGTATGTCAGCCCTATTGTGAAATGTGTTTGCATTTGTGCATTTTGTAGAACTCTTATATCAAGTATGTTCAATATTGTTAGAAGTTTACAAAATCACTAACCTCATTCCTTAAAAACAAATAGTGAATGCTGTTATTTAATTGTAAGTTTAAAATTGGTATGAAAACAAGTTTGATTTAAAGAATATCTATGGATTGTTGCAAGGCCATTGAAACAGTTTCTTGGAAAAATTAGCAAATTTATGATCCTTTTATTTTGATATAAATATTGCTCCTCCTACTGTAGTCCCAAATTTATTTTAAAACTACAATAATAAGATGTCACAGTTGAACTGACAGTTTTTATCTAAACCTTTTTAATGGAGGGATTCTATTGATTTTCTAGCCCATATACCAGTGACCCTTAATGGTTTATTTGTGTTACCGGTAATAGTTTCAATGTCTACTCAGTAGATTTTAAAAAAAGATAATATAGGATTGTTGCCTGCTAATTCTACATATTCGGATTTGTTCTAATAAAGATGATCTGACCAATGGTTTTCATTGCTTGGGTAATGGGCTTGATTTGTAAGAATATTTCATGCGTTGAGCTTATTCAGAATCAAAATTAAATTAGCTGTAAGAGTATCTTAAAAAAGAAAATCTATGCAGATATGGTGGTACAAGATTTGTACAGGGATATTTAATTGGGTAGATTTAAACATTTGCAAAGTGGTTGAAAAAGTTGAAGCATTCCTATTAAATAAATGTTTTTTGGTGATCCATGATAGCTTGCCAAACTCCATTGAACAATATTTTATCTGTGATATTCTACTAACAGACGTACCACCATAATATGAATCTGCAGTTGGTTACACACCTATTGATCTGGATTAAAGTCATGTGAGAGTCAGGGATCTGCCATTTTCGACATTAAATTCATAGTTAACTGAAAAATATAATTTTCGTACATATATTTTACTGTCTACTATCTTGGCTTTTATCAGAACCAATGGTGCAGATGTTCATTATAAAAATTTCTTGACTGAGTCTATCTGTTTGTCACACCTTTTGGATCACAATACCTATGCTACTATCTGAGGTAGAATGTTCAAACTTGTGTGCAAACTGATTGACATCTTTTGATAAATAGTTGAATTTGAAGATTGAGTCGTTGGTAAGAGTAGAATATTATCACACAATCTTCTGAATTTTGATTATTCGTATAAAATAGTCTTGATAATCCAGGCCTGCCAATCAACCAGAGAATGTTCAGTAGACTCATTTAAACTGATTTCAAACCAAGGGCCTGTAAACTATTGTGCATTTAACTTAAAATGGTTGTATATGTGGTACTGGGTTGTAGTGTACGATTGTAGAATATTTTTATTGTATATGATAATACAACATGACCATTGATGATTTAAGGGGCAAACTAATGTAAGGCTTGTTATATGAATATGATGACATAATTATCGATATATTTGTAGATATCATTTTTATTGTGGAGTAGCCTATCATAAACTGTCCAGCCACAAAACTCAAAAAATTATGTCAACGAAGACATCAGTCTTCTTTGTATTGACACAAACAACAGAGTGTGACAACCAGAGTTTGACACAAGTTTGAGAAGACAGTCCACTGAGGGTTTGAAAAAAATACATGGTTACTTTTTAGTACAACCTCAGTTGTTTCGTGCAATTCTTTCTGTTGTGTTTATTTACCTGCAGTGCCTATTTACTGTTGAGTTTCTCAAGTTTTAACATAGGCAAATGAATATCAGCAATGTAAAGACTTCTAACTTAAAGGAGCTAAATCGCTAACATTTGGGACCTAGAAATTGACACAAGTGGGTCGGAACTCATGTAATACTGTAATATGAATGTATATAAACTGATATACATTCAATGGTTTCCGTTTTTACTCTAATTTCAAATCAGTTATGTTCCGCGATATAAGCCAGCAGGCTCAATCGAATGCAAATTTCTAGCGCCTGGTTATTCCAGTCTACATACGCCGTTTGGTTTGGTGCAATATGTCTAGCCTTGTTCCTCGAGTCTCTTGCTAGAACTGGGGCTGAAACGCTTTATGGTACACGATTCGTGTACCAATGGTAAAATGTTTATTTTGTCTTAAAT